AATGCTTTCAGATCATTGCTGCACTGTACGACACTTTGTGTTGCTTCATATTAGTTTTGTCATTTGGTGCTGCCAGTACTTTAAAACACTGCCGACGCACAATGTGTTGCTAAATAATGTCATTTTAACTTGACAAGAATTAATGTGCATATGATCCTTAAATCCTTTTTGCTGTGATAGACTTACTTACTGTGATGCATCTTACCATAATCAGCAGAGTGTTGTAAACTGTTTAGGTGTTTCTGTTGATAAAGCTTATGAGGATTCATTACTAGAAGTGTTCTGTGCTGCACTGTCTTCCAGTTCAGATAGCTTTTATCCAGGACGTGGGTCAGATGTCACTGAGGAAATTCCCTGGCAGGTACAGCACACATTTTAATATTCCCATAATGCAACTAGATTCAAGTGTGTCCGTGAGTCACAATGACCCAGAGTCAGCAATCCAAAATATGCACCCAGCCTCTACAGCATCAGGCTGTACTGTCCCACTGACACAAGACAATGGTGGAAAATATATGAGAATAAGTGAGAGATGACATAAGTTAAGGACCAAAGCTGGATTTTATTCTGGCTAAAACCGCTCAGGGTTTCTGACAGAAGGACAAGAACACCACTAATAGTTAATTACAGTAGTAATAATAGTGCACAATAAATCAATCACATTATATTTGTGACAGAATTGTACAGTAATCAGTAGTTAAGTTTTGAAGTACCCTCAAAAAGGTAAAGCATTTGTTTTCTTTGGTTGGGAAGCCATGACTTCATTGTGTTCTCTGAAACCAAACCTATGCCACAGATTGTTGCTGTCAGTCATGATGTACATCTGTTCCATTTCAAACAGCAACAGTGTAAACTGTATTAGACCTTACAGTTGTGCTGTCTTTGTGTGTGTGTGTGTGTGGTGTGTTGTGTGTAGGTTAAGACTGGAGGCTCTGACAGACAAAGAGCCGGGCCAGCTGGAGATAGATAGTGGGGAGGAAGGGAGGAAAAAGAGGAAGGTTGTGTTGAGGACAGTCTGCCTGCCAGTCAGCCCCAACCTACTACAAGCCAGGTCCTTTTGGAGGCGGAGGACCTGATCATAGAGGAATATACCAGCGAATAACACGTGGCTCTGTCATACCGTGACGCTGTTTCATTGTCAGGTTTTTTTATTGTATGAGTTTTGGGTTAGTATGGAGGAAGATTAGTGTCACACGAACCAACACAATGAGATTAGAGACTCTTTTTTGACATGTAAGAAAAAGAAAAAGAAAAAACTGTTAAAAAGATGATACTTTCTGAAATTCTGACTTTAATCTTGAACTCCAATGATCCTCCACGTGGTGCTAACCAAAGGTGGGTTAATGTGTTGCTGACTGTGTGATGCTTCAGGTATTACCAGTATTGTTGCTCATCTTGTGTTGTCTGTACAAGATATGATCATTTCTCAAGCAAGCTTGTTGCCTCGTGGAACCTGAACAGAGTTTGATTCTGTAGCTCGACAGGCCCAGAGTACCAGGAGCATGTGGATTCGTTGTGGGGAAATTGTCAGTATTTATTAGTTGAAAGTGCATGTTCAGCACTTGTTTTTGCACTTGGCATCTTTTTGGTTTTGCTGAGTGACTGCTGAGCCTGGATGAACCTGTCATGGAGGACTTTGCAGGAACAAGCCAGGCCTGTCGCTATCTTTTTTACAGTTTCCCATGGCTGGAAAATAAGAAATATTATGAGAATGTATGTATGTGAATAAAATAGTGTGTGAAAAGTTCAGATGGCTCTTTACTTTTCTTACGCTCTGCCCTCACACACCCCTTCATCCAATATTTACTAACAGTTTCACATGAAGCTCTTTACATTTGCCTTCTGGGACTGACTCTGTCTGCCTGCTGCTGGAGCTCACTAACTACTTCAACGTAAATTCAGAAGAAGAAAGAATAATAAAATATAAATAAGCGATACTCATTTTGACCGGAAATTGTATGTTATTGCTAAAAACTTACGCGTTTTAAATAACACATTTGCTGTTAGGTTAAAAGTGAGAACATGTAAGGTCGTTGCAGTTTTTTTGATGGGGAAAAAAAGAGTTTGTTTTTTTACGGTAGTAAATAGTTCCATCGTCGCGCTTAGTTTTTGTATTAAAAAGATTTATTTTGAAGGTAATAACCGGAAGCAGCTCGTAGTAGCGCCTTGCAGGTGTCAGACAACGGCAGGTGGAGGGAGGAGTCACCTGGCAGTGTATGGAAGCGGCACGGAACCGGTTCGAGTGTCGGACGTGTACGGAACCCCGAGACAGCAGCTATAAACTCTGTGTGGGAGTGTGAGAGTGTGTGTGTGAGAGAGAGACTGTACGCACCGAGGACTGCATCTGTGACGTTGCTTCAGAGTTACAGGTAAGAGGAAGTAATTCATAAAATAAACGAATAATCATTACCGTTAAAGGGCAATCCCACTTTGTGGGTATTTCTGGATCAAACACTGTAGGTTTTCTTTGTGTTTGATCAAGTCTTCCATAAATGAAGCAGCAGCAGTGTAGTGATGATGCCATCTGGACACAAAGCTTATGATACTACTGGAACACTGGAACACAGAGCTGGGTGATAAATCATATCTGGAATCAACATCACTCTGTGAATAAGACGTTTTGATAGGATATGGCAAGATAATTACTGTAAGTAGGCTTCATTTGCTCAAATAGCCTACTGTAATTTAGTACAAATTTGAAGTAGCCTACTTTTACTTTGAGTATTTTCTTTTCATGCCATTTTCTGCTCCACCACATCTCAGAGGGAGTTATTGTACTTTTTGCTTTACTACATTTATCTGACAGCTTTAGTTACTAGTTTACAAGGACATTATTTTTACACACAAATATATGAAGACTCAATAAAATATGTTTTGTTATAAATGAAACTACAGCTTGACATTGACATGGTAACAACTTTTAAGGTTTAAGACATGTCCTGTAAACAGTTGATGGTTTCAGCTTACAAATGTGAAGATTTGCTGCTTTTCCTTCCTTTTAGGTATTTTAATTTATTTGAACTTTGTACTGTTGGTTAGGTGTCACTTTCTCACTATTTTCATAATTTCAAAAATCAATTAATGGAGAAAATAATCCATAATGAAAATAATCAGTAGTTGCACTGTAAAATCCTGCTTTTACATGAATGCAAGAACAATCTAATATTTAATAGTTTAACAGTCACAGGACAATTATCTTTCTGCAACGAGTCCTTTTAATACTTACATTTTCAGATCATACTAACATACTTTTACTATATTAATAATGCAGGACTTTTACTGGATTATTTTTACAGTGTATTAGTACTTTTACTTAAAGGATCTGAATCAGACACACACACATATAACTGAGTAAGTTGAATTAGTACTGAAGCCTGTTTCTAATGAATGTCACTGTTTAATAGGAGACTTTGCTGTATTTAAATTCTGTTTGACAAACACAACCATACTAACTACTTTTTACTTTTGATGCTTAAGTATTTTTAAAAGCGGGTACTTTTGTATTTTGACGCAAGTAGAATTTAAATAGAAGACGTTTAGTGGAGTAATATTGCTTTTGCTCAAGGACAGGATTTGTGTATGTCTTCCACCACTGCAAATTAATAATCAGTGCATTTACCTGTCCCACTGAAGCTTTATGTCATATAAAAAGCAACCTGAGTGAGAAAAAGGGTTTGGTTGTGTAGACTAAATGTATAGACATGTATCCTCTTTAAAGAGTTCACAACCAAACAGGTTGGAAAACACTGGCTTGGGGCATAGATTGGAATACAAAATAATACCTCTATACTGTAGCCTAGTATAACATGAACAATGTGATAGACACATTACAGTCAGTCAGACTTTTTACAAACATTTTGTATTCAAATATGTAATCTGGTTTTAAGATTTGAAATCTGCAGTGAAAACATATCATCCACATGACTGCTTCAAGTACTGTTCTGTAGTTTCATACAGAATGAAGTTTGGGGACACAATATCATGACCTAATCTATGAACATATTTCACTTGGAAATTTGAATGAGATGCTCTCTTCCCAACTTCTGACCTCATACCACATGGTAAAAATAACTGTGGTTAACAGAACACGCGGGCTTCCAAGGAGAAATGGCATCTAAGCAGGTAGTCATAACCTGGAACATAGCAATAAGTTAGTTCTTGTTGGTGTTAAGTAACAGTGTCCCAGAGCATAAAGATACTGTTTATAGATCAAATGACCAGACAGGAATGTCTGTTTTGTTTCTGTAATTAATACAAAATATGGTGGGTTCTTTTTTAAGGCTTTGTCTTTGTTGTTGTTTTAGCTACATTATGAGATATATCCAAATGTGGAGCGGACGCTGAAAACAAAATGGAGTTTTTAATTGTAAAAGTGCTGTGATTGATTTAGATTTTGTGCCATGTAAAGCATAAGGTGGGACTTATGGACAATAAAGACAAGGAATTTCATTCCATTGATACAAAAACATGTTTGTATTCAGTATGAGAAAGCAGTCCTGTCCACACTGGCCCAATACACCCGGTAATATTTAAGGTCCAGGTGTCTGGGTGCAAATGGTGTCTTATTGTTTCAAATAGCTGACAGTTGATCATTTATATCATCTTATGGGATGCAGTAGCACTAGAGGTAAAAAAGAATATTTAGGTTGAAGAGATCCATACTGTGTTGAATGTAACGTAAGGTTCGACCTGGTGCAGATGCAGGAGGTCAGTGCGGCCTGCAGCCTGGATGATGACATGGTGGATGGAGATCTGGGTGACGGAATGGGAGTCAGAGCAGCACCGAGCTGTACGAGGAAGAAAAGCCCAAGCTTCGCTGGCATCACAGAGACCCCGCTGCCCAGAGCAGAGATGCGCAGCAGCCAGGCAGGAGAGGCAGCCTGGATCCCTGGACTGAAGACGGCAGAGACGCAGCAGAGAGCCCGCTGGAAGCTGCCATGTTCTGGTAAGAATGTGAACTGGCCCTTTACTGTAACAAAGGAGCTAACAATCCTTGGATTGTCTTTCGTTTCACATAAATCATAACATAAATTTGTTAATGGAGAGTCCACGATACTATGAAGCCGTAGAATTTAGTATTTTGGTCTTAAACCAGGAAATTATATTGATTGTATTTCTTTAGAAAATAAGCCTTTAAACTGACTCTAGTCCAAACTGCACAGATTGTTATCTGTGCAGTTTGGGCAAGGTAAGGTTTGAGGTAAGTTCAGTAAGACTGGGAGTAGGGCTGCACGACTGGAGGAAAAGTCCTATTGCGATTATTGTGGACAACATTGCGATTTTAGATTGCGATTCGATTATAATAGAACAGATGGTACTATGAGTCACCTTGCTTGATTATCAAGAATACTGACATTTTTAAGTGTGTATTTCTCCACTTGAACAAAGTGAAACGATAAACAATATTTATAACAATAACTAAACAGATTTAAACAAGGGGAGCGTGCAGCTCTACGGAGGAGGCGGCTAGAAGGAGCAAATATTGGCACAGCGACTTCCTGGTTCTGGCTAAATCTACATCTGTCCACTGCAGAGGCTCTATCCACAACCTGGTGGTCGAAACTAGTAGTGATGCGGAGTGGGTGTGTTACGGATCCGTGGTGTCACAACGCATTTATTTTAGCCTGTTCCGATTCAACACCTTCTCTATTCCTCTTCCAAAAGCTCCGACCTGCTGATGGAGCTACAGTTATGCTACATTCACATATTGGGCGATGAGACCATGGATAGGGCCCTTTGGAATCTGTTAAAATTGTTTACCAGATTCTGTTTAATTTTCCTGAATTCTGTGTTTTACAATTTTATCATCAGAGTGTGTAATCATGTGGTGGTGAATAAAATTGCAACAATTTAATAGGAAAATATTACAAATTGAATCAACATTAAAAACAATTATGTATCGTATATATTCAATGCATGTGCAATTATTTATGGGGACAAATCACAATAAATGTAGGTTATTGCAACAGTAGGATGTTAAAACAGGCAGTTACAATAATAATAAAACATTCATATAAAGACATTGTTGCCGTACATGCATTGTCCCCAATCAAACAGCAAATCCTGTGTGTGTGTGTGTGTGTGTGTGTGCGTGCGTGCGTGTGCGCGAAAACAGCTTTATCTCATGTGTCCGCTTTTTAATTAATTTTTTTTTTTTTTTTGGAATATAACCTATTTAGACATTTTTTAATCATTCTTTCCGAAAACAGTAGCAGGGAAATATTTATATATAGAGAGTTATGTGTATTTTTTGTGCATGTAACAGGTTTGCAAAGTGAAAAATGCCAAAGGGAGTTCCCATCTCCCACAGAAAACACTGCTCTGAACTGAAAACAGCTCGTTTGTAGTCCAGCCTTTACTTCCTTTTCTTGTGACGTCACAATGAAAATACATGTCATAATGTTCGCTGAGCGGCTAGTCCGACACGCCCTCAAAAACAGCGGTGGAAACACAATGAGCTGCAGCACACAGCTCTCCTCTCCCTTCCAACACTAGCTACCCTCCAGGCAGTCAGTGCACAGGAAGTTGTTCCTGTGATGTAGAGACAGAGCTCAGTTAAAACTTTATGGATGAAAGATACTTTTGTTACAGATTAATAACTCACCGCTCTGAAACTCTCGCTCCAGTCCATGTTGCCGACCAGCTCGGCAACATGGACTACATGGAGTACAGCTGAACCCAAGCTGTTTACCGGCTTCTCGCTGACCTGCCGTTCTCTGCTTCTGACTTGTAGTCCTTAACTAGGAACT